GAGGATGAGAAGTGAGGACAGAGCAGTGCTGTGAAACTGGGACTGGGAGAAGTCCCTGGAAAACTTCCTCTGGGGTGGAAACTGGGGGCCTGATCTGACATCATCACCTCCCCTTATGCGCACACTACACCTGCACAAGGTGAGTGGAAAACACTACCAAAATGAAACATTTGTATACCATTTTGCACAAGTAAAAAGATAGATAATACCTAAGTGGAAAATGAGCCAGGGTATAAGTGCTTAAAAGCTTGGGAACTGAAGAGATTTTAGTTGGCATGGAGGGCTTTCTGCTGGGGAAAAGGAACAGTTGCCTGGCTAACAGTAAGCAGAGCTGGAGGAACTAGATTTGAAGGGAATGCTTCAGGTGTGTAAATGTAGGCAGGTAGTGCTTTCTAGATGTCTTAAGACATCCAAGCTGTCTGCAATGGAAGGGATGATATAGAAAATATAGGCAATCCATCTACCCCTCTGGAGCAGCAGCTAGAGTCTGGAGTAACATCAGCATATCTGGAATGGCACCAGATACCAGGTGTTTAGGCACTGGAGTCCCTGGTGTTTCGCCTTAAACTCAGAGCTTTGCTTCTTCTCCCAGCCTAAACATCGGAGATCTCCCATGGTTGGTTATTGACATTTGCAGACTGAGAACTAGCTGACGATAAAAGATCAGCTGGTGAGTTTGACTTGTTGGAGAACTATGACAAAGCCCTACTTAACCATGGATGTGGGAGTAGGTCGCAGAGAGAATATATTTCTGGCTGTTGGTAGAGGGATTTCAGGAGTCAGGGAAGTTCTAGACCAGCAATAAGAAGTGGGAATGGGGAGAAAGGCAGCTCTGTGGGGTGTGCAGGGAAAGGATGGAAGAGGAGACTGCTGTGGACAGCACATCGTTAAGCACATGGCTTTGACTGCTACTTCAACAGGGCAGTGCCCATATCCAGGCATTAGCATCCATTTCACTTACATCCTTGTAAGCCAGTACAATGTATTTCCACATCTCAGACATAAAGTTCCTCAGGGAAAAATTCAGAATCTGATTACCATGCAAATACAGCTGGGATGCAGCTCTCTTTCTTACTTCCTTCCCCCTTTCCCCAACCCTTCCTTTCCCTGCCTAAAAATTACTTGGGTGTGCAGCCATACTTTTTCATATTGCCTCCCATGTATCTATCTACCTCCCAGAAGCATTATTGGGGTTGTGCAGCTGGGAATACTCCCTTAGGTCTCTTTAGTAGTTACAAGTCCACACCCTGAACTTGCCTATCGCATACTGGATCAAACAGACAAGCATGTTCAGATCATAATTATGATCTGTCAATTCTTGTTTGATCATTATTTTACGATTCAGTAGTTCTGTTGACTCACACTCTTGAAATAATCACCTTTTTCACTGGATTGTTTGCATGATATTTAATTGCAACGGGTTTACTTATTTATCTACTTATTTTTAAAAGGCTAATTCTTCACAACAGCTCAAAACATAAATTCAGGCTCAAGATAAAAAACCTAATCTGTTGGGTTCTGATTTTGCATCCTTTATGGCTTTGGCAGTTTTTTTCTTAAGCAGAAGCATAAAGATATTCCCTTAAAGCCTATCTCCAGAGTAATTGCTCATTATAAAACTTGCATTAGTCTTTTTCACAAAGGTTACCATCAAAAAAAGATCACGTTCATCCACATTATTGCATTTGGCATCCCATAGACAACACCACAGTACATTAAGCTCCACATTCTGACAATTGGTGCTCAGTTTTTCAATCACAACCACCGTGGGAGCCTTTTTATAATAGAGGAGATGTAAATACCACATAAAAAGACTGAGAGATGAATCAGCAACTTATCTAAATCACAGTAGCCCCAGATAAAGTATGCCCCATTGCCATGAATAGATTACCACAGTAATGTATGGAAAGAGTTGATTGTGGAAGGAATCTCACATCCTACTGAAAATTCAATATATACCAAACTCACCAAAGATTTTTTCAATGGTTAAAAGCTTTGCATATATATCTATGAGTGCAAGGAAACCATTGTAAGGTATTTAGACAGGAACAAAAGAAAATACAGGCACTTCAGTAGCTTTGCTGTTGCCTACCTCCTCCACCATTTGCAAATTTCACTACCTTTACATATATTAACTCCGACACATAATGCAAACAGATTTAATTCCTAAAGGCATTTGCAGCTTGAATTTCCTACATAGGGATCGTAAATCTAGAATGGGAAGCCTGAAATCGTTAAAGTCACATATTTATAAAATCATATTCAATTAGGTTAAAAAAGTGCAATTTCTGTCATCATGTCATAAAAAGATGTGTTTTTGTCTCAGATCTACTATAAAGAAAAGCTCCCTATATTGTTACAGATAGAGGCTGTTTTCAATCAGTTACAAGGAGCAATCCAATTACTGGATGGTTTAGTGCAGTAACTGACTCCAGACTAATTTAATTTCTTTAGGTCTCTAAAGATCAATTGATCTGATTTGTTTCCCTCCCCAAAGGCTGTTTAGGAAAAAGCAGGCTTAAATACCTGGAAATGAAATAGAAAGCTCTGTACGCTTTCACACTACTTGGGTCATTCGGAAAAACTGGAACTCCCGATGAGTGCTCTCTTGGCCCTAACATCACAGGATGCTTTGCAGGAGACCATTAGGATCACCACACAGCACTGCAGATTATGCATGCATGCACTGTACGGCAGGCCTGCTTGGGAAGCAGTGCGTGGAAAGTATTTTCACAGCTTCTAGATAAATATTCATATTTTTCAAGAGCTGTGCAAATGTGCATTTGGCCTGCATAGTCTTTTCGCTGGTGAATAAATATTTTTCTCAGACAGTGATCTTACAAGAATAACTGTTTCCAACTAGACTGAGCAATAGTCATGCTCTACTATTCAATGTATCACCTACATCTTGTAATGCATGTCGTGATGGACATCAAGCAAGAAATCCTTCCTGTTGTCATATCTCACACTTTGCTATTTCTTTATATCAGATTTCTTTAAGCAGTTTTGCTGGCGCTAAGATGAAGTCTGTAGAACCAGTGAGAAGAGAATGACATTCTCATCTGCCTGAATATTTTGATGCTGGAACTGAAAAAAAAACTTTGGCATTTCTCCACCATGTCAGATAACTTAGGAAATTCTCAAAGTCTCTTACCAGCCCTCTTGTCTGTTAGGCTTTTACTGTCTCATTACCTGATGTCTTGTGTGGCAGGTTTTGTTTTTTTAAATACTGTTGTTCCCGGATCAGGGCTAAGCTTTCCCATTGATGTCAAAATACGACCTTACCCAAACTTGGACTCTCAAATCCAGAGTTTTAATGTCATTTCAATACTTCTCACATTCTGTTTCTTGTATTTATTGTAGGTTTCACACTTGGCTACCTTATCTTTCATGGCAATGTTTGTGCCTGGGCTAAGCTGCCTGTCTCAGTCTCTATTCTTACACTTATCAATAAACAAAAGGGCACTGCGGTTTACGCTCAGCATTTCTGACTCCATGCCATGTGCTGTTATAATAAGATGTCCTCTGGAAAAATTCCCTTCATATCCAGCTCTACGATAGTTGGTTCATCTGTACAGAGGTAACTAAGTTTTTCTCCCAGCTTATCTCTTCAGACTGTCTCTGCCCTTGCAAAGCTGTGTTGTTAGATATTGCCTGTCTGTAAAACAAGGAAACTGAAATGTGAAAAATCAAAATCTCTTCTCTTCCTACAAGTTCTTTCTTGACTATTTATTACATACAAACCTGAGCTTTGGATATTGTTTACTTTAGTACTGTGTCAATACAGCAGGCTATGCTATTTTAATTAAATCTGCTTTAGTTTTTTTCCCATTTTCAACTAAGACTTTCACTTAGGAAGCAATGTTTAACAACTTTGCAAGTGTGCACTGCAGTCTACAAGCTTACTTTCCCAAATTACTGTTCTTTCACCCAATTACTCAACGGATCACTAATGATCCAGACACTAGTAAGATATAAAATAGACCACTATTTCCCAGCCATGGACCTGCTTAGATTAATGTACTTTTGAAATGCTGTAAAGACTTTCTCTAGCTGTATGGATATGACTTCATTGAGCAGTTTATCCCCTATACGCACCCACGAAAGATGATTCACAGATACACGTGGATATCCCCACATAAGAGCCTAGAGGGTTTTGGCCGCTCCAAATTTTCTTTCATGATTGTGTGCTCATAGGAAAATTTGGATGTGCTATATCCATCTCCATCAAGTTCTCCTCCAGACTAAAGGACGCAGGCAGCTTAATTTGCTTCATTTGCCAAACTGTTTTACCCGATATCATAAAAATGTGATGCACTGGAGAGCTACCAAGAGATTGAAGTTTGTTTCCTACTCAACTGTGGGTTAATGCTTCTGTCCCTATGGCAGCAGTTGCTTATAATGAGCTGTACACACACAAAACTCAACAGTTTCCAGATAAAGCTTTCCCCTGCTGCAGCCTGCAGTACAATTTTGGTGAAACAAAAATGGCATCTTTGTCGTCAGAGTGGGAGTTATGGGATTTGTCCTGATGGCAACAATTGCTGACCTCAGTGTCTGGGACTGCTGAAGTGTATTTTGGGAAGCTCCCCTCTCTTTTCCGCTGTGTGGAGCAGTGGGGAGCTATAAAGATGTTTTTCACAGGACCACGGCCCTTGTTTCCCAGTGACCCAATCCACAGCCCTCAATAGGATTAAATGGCATGATAAGAAAAAAGCTTTTCATTCTGAAGTTGTAAAACTGACCCTCTCCGCCCTTCAAGAAACCCCCTCAGGAAGATGAATATATTGGCCCCAACTGGAACAGATGTCAAAACTCAAACCAGCTCTTTCTTCATAAAGTTTATAAGTATTTTTAAGGGAGGTGGAGGAGGCTTACTATATGCAACAAGATAACATTAAAATGCACAGCTTCTCAGGAGTTGAAAGGATGCTTTTCCTACAAACTCTCTCTTCTCTTTATCTTATCTGCACGGAAAGTAAACAGAAAGTCCCCATTACCTCTCGATATCAGTGAGTCTGGAAGAGTCCCGGAATCCTTTAGCAAAAGGGTTGCTGTCAATTTTCAACTTGGTTATCTGGAAACACAGAAAAGAGCAATGTGACATGAATATAGTGTTAAGGTATTGCAGCGTACAAAGTGTTAACCAATCCATCCTCCTGACTTCACTGCTAATTTTATCCATGCTCCTTGTGCGTGTTGCGTGCATGCTACTCTTGAGATGCTCCAAAGCTGGGGAGGCAAACCAGCATGTATTAACACATACGGCAATGGAAAGACCAAAGGGCACAGTGGGCTCAGCCTTCATGTTCCCCAAAGCAGGAGGAACCCACCCATGTACAACATTACTGCTTCCAAATACTTTAACAGCATGAATCGGGTTGTCGTTTCCATGAGCAATGCACTGCACCCTGCTAACATCTGAGCTTCCTTGGTGGAGCTACATATCAGCTAGTATGAGCCCAAACTAGGAGCCACTGCCTGCAGGCCTGAAGACATTGCTTCAGTTCAGCCCCACCTTTTTTGTTTGTTTGTTTTAACTGCGATGCAAATGTTCTCAGCCAGACCTACCAGCCATCCCATAGGGACAGTTTAACTGTTTTTGCATGGAAAGAGGCTAAGGAAGGGAAGGAGGGAGGAAAAATGTGAGGACAACTCAGATTTAAAGTGACAAAGCCTGGGTTAAAGGACTAATCCCATTAAAACCATCACAGTCCTGGAAAAACAGAGGTCTTTCTTGCAACCAAAACTCTCCTCCCTTCTTCAAATGCAGCTACAAACCTGCCCAGTGCATCCTATCAGCCTTTGGATTCAGCCAGAGTAACCCACTGATCAGGAGTCGCTCTGTCCCAAAGCATCATGGCTCCCCTTAACTTTGCAGTCAAACTTTTCAGGCAATAGGTGGTGGCTTCCACTGTGTTTTTTTGGGATCAGGAAAAAAATACGCCATTGCCCTTGTGAAATTTTCTAGCTGTCCAACCAAATAAGATTTGGTGCGTAAAACCTCAGACATCATCATAATATTCAGATTTTCCAGCCAACTTCTTCCAAGAATTAAAAATAAAACTGCAAGTGGGAGTTGGAGCTTGATGAGGGACAACACAGTACCTGTCCTGCAAGGAAGTGAATGCCACCAACTCCAGCTGAAGCCCATGAAAATCAACAGCTCTCCGCATTTCATACTCAGCAGCTATGTCAGCCTGGTTTTGCTCAAAAAAAGCTGGTATTGCAGAGGCCACAACCTCATTTTTAATAGCTGGCCCTCAAGACTCAGAAAGAAAAGGGATCTTTTCCAAATCCTCAAACAATCAAATGCTCTCATCAAACAAAGGTATTTCAAAATGGGGTGGCTTCTCCGAAATTTAAAAAAAAAAAAAAAAATAAAGGGAGGACAACTGATCCCAACTTTTCATTCTGAGAAAGAGGTCTTCTAGGAGGCAAACACAGAGAAGGAGGGACAGGCTGACAAAGACAAAACCTGAGTATTTAATTACTGGTCTGCAGGATGTGAATGATATACTGAGCGGCTGCTACCCACCTGCTCTGCCACTGTGGAAAACTCACTGCACCCCTGGGCTGCTGTCTTTCCTGCCCGACGTTTCGGGTCCATAGAGGGGCAAGCTCTCTGGGGAAGGTACTTGCTTTCAGGCACTATGTAGGAGGTGCTGCAGCTCACCCGTTGTTCCTATGGGCTGGTCAAACAGCACAGGACCTCAGCGCTGGCTGAGGGTTTGAGGCTGTCTTATCATGCAGGTACAACTGGTGGAAACTACCCTGAACACCAGCCTTGTCACGGGACCTTGTTAATGCCAGGTTGGAGGGGGCTTTGAGCAACCTGGTCTAGTGGAAGGTGTCCCTGCCCATGGCAGGGGGGATGGAACTACATGATCTTTAATGTTCCTTCCAACCCAAACCATTCTATGAGTCTATAACCTTGCAACATCTCAGCAAGTTAGTTAATAATCTCATCCTACTCTCAAGACATCCATAAGCCCTTGACTCATGGTGATGTGGCAGAGAGCGGTGGGTTAGTGCCTCATGTCCAGCAAACGTTTTTATGGCAGCATTTTGAAAACTGCCTTGAAAAAAGATGAGCTCTAACTAGTTCCATTGACTTAGATCACCAACACACCGAGCCAACTGCACTGCAGAATAATAAGGACGCCTATTCATCTCTTGAGCATATTTTCACCAATCAAACTTCCATTTTCCTAATATTAAAGATTTGGTATGACATCACAAGAGAAACTTTTTGTATCCACCAAAGCCAGATGAGACTCACAATCATTTATGGCCATATTTTTCCTGAGAGACTGTCTCACAAACAATCAGAGAACATCTGCTAGAAAGCATTTTAAAATGAAATCTGACCTACAATTCAACTCTGTGGCAGTGGTTTGACTGTTTAAATAAATGCATGCCCTTTAAATCTTAAATTATGAGATAGTTTGTTGAAAGTGTAATGTATTTAGCTTTTATCTAATAACCTCCAGAAATGTAATCAACCCCTCCTTAAAACAGTTCTGAAAGAAATGGCAAAAATGAAAAAAGGCTCCATTTTCATTAGTCATAAATAAAATGACAGCATCAACCTCTAGGGGTTCCGGAGATGTTCCATTGAGAAATTTTCCAGGACTGAATGTATGTGCTTTGGGAAGGTTAGTTTAGGAATATCTCTGGTGTAAATATCATCGGTAAACACAAATCCATCCTACAGAAATAAATTCCAGGTTTAGCTGTTCTTGTGCCTGTTACTATTTTGCTGGTTTCTAGAGAAAGTTAAGTGGAAAAATCTAACCGCCTGTCCAAACATTATATTCTTGAGATTGCCAGGTGCTGAATGCATTTTCTGCAGCATTCAGATACAAACCTGAGTTTAAAATTAATACATTCTGATATTAAAGCCTTAAGGTGGGATGTGGGGTCTGTCATAAGGACCAACTTACTACTACTATTATCTTCAGAGCTTCTTTGACCCACTATGCAGTAGTGTCATTTTATTCATAGCATTTAGAAATTAATTACTTTTGCTTCATATTAAGAAATGCAGACTCCTTTAAGTAATCCAGCAGGTACATTGAATCCGTGATACTGCCTGCCCACATATTTGGACAGTACTTATATTTTTCTTAACTTGAGGGAATTAGAGGTAAAGAGGTGTTTTTTGGGGTTTGGTTTTCATTTGTTTTGTTTTGTTTTGTTTTTTTTGAAGTACCATAGTCATTAAGCTCTTAAAGCACACTCTGAATCGCACTGAAGCCAACATATTTCCACTGACTTAAATATTAAAGCCCTATCCACTGTCAAGCAGACCCTCTACTCTCCAATTGTTTATATACTTCCTGAAATTTCTCATTAGCAATCCATTGTTATTATCTCCTCCATTTTGTATATATTATTCACTGGCATGCAAATTGAAATTCAAACATCTGGATGTAATCTGGGCAGCCTCTGAAAAGCATATCTCTGAGTGATTTCCCTTACATTTGAGCCTTACAGCTTAATTAGTCAACTTTTTAAGCCCATGAAATCATCATGTGCAAAACAGAGTATCTCTTAGCTAACAGCTCGTGGCGTGAAAGATCACTGCAAACAAGAACAGTTCCTTAATGAGTTATAATTAGGAAAGGACTAAATGATAATACACAGACGGCTCTGTATAGACAGAAGGGAAGACAACTTAAAGCCTCTATCTGTCACCTTTACTCCCATGAATAATCCTTATGGCCCTTTGAAGTTAGTAGTACTACCTGTATACATAAAGAATTACTCCTGAATATGAATTAGGTTAGGCAAGGTCACTACAGACATTGGCATGGAAAGGTAGGTTATATCGGAAATTTTCCTAGTTTAGATTGAGGAAAAGGGAGTTTTCAATAGGGTGGGATTTAGTGAAATTTGTGGAAATTAGCAAGCATACTCACCAATTGATTCTGGTAGGCGGTAACAGCTGTAAAAACTGTCTCTGGAAAGATAAATGTCCTGAACTCTTCTGATTTCAGATTTAGCAAAGAAGCTGTGTGATCCTTCTTCTTAATAATGTGGACCCTTGGCTGGTACTTGTGCATGGAGTTCAGAATGATCTGCAAGAAAGAGTGAGAAGGCACTGTCCTGAAAGGAAGGTTAACAGGACCCTTGAAGGCTATAAAACTGTAGGGGGGGAAAAAGATCCAATTAACACCACAGGGGAGACGTCTGAAATCTAACTAGCCAGGGGCTGATTTTCAGAGCAAAGTCTCCAGCTCCTTTGGGCAGTTCCAGAAAATGAAGGTGGAAAAGCAGGCACCCCAGGAGCTGATTTCCTTTCACTCCTACACCGCTGATGAGCACACATTTTTTGAAGCATAAATACCTGCTCCTACAGGTGAGGTGTTTTACATACAGAATTTGTTATTGCTAGCGTGTGCCCCAGTTTGCAGGTGTCAGCTGCAAGTGTAAATATGCAGCTCTTGAAAGCTAATGACCAAAAAGCCACACTTGCAAAAATATGCAGGTACAGAATGGAAAACGCCAGGAACCCCTCAAAAAAAAACCCAGAAAAAAAATAAAACCAACCAAAAACCCACCACCAGCAGCAGCACAAAACAGCTGACCAAAAATAAAACTCCCCAGATATTTTTACTGTGGCAAACCTTTAAACCAAACTACTTTGTTTGTAGATTCTCATCACTGCAGACCACCGAAAATGAGAGCAAGGAGGGAAACCAGTACAGAACCCCAAAATGACCAGGTTTTGCCATCTTATCCTCATTAATAATTGTTTACAAGCTCCCAAAATAATTCTAAACCTGATGTACCAACTAACCAATTTCAACGTTCACTGGAGTCAAACTGAGTCCCACTTGCTTCAGTTACCACTGGCTGGAGGCCTGTTTGGCTGCCTCTAACCACAGTATTACAATATAAGAATTAAATACAGAGCTCGGCTCGTACCAGTCCTTGTTTTGGATATAATCACAGTCACAAGATTAAATTGGCAATGGTGTGGGTGGTTCTATTTTGCAGGGGCCATAATGACGTTACAGCCAGCTCTGTACATCTGGAATAGCTAATGTGCATTCCTTGGGAAGCGTTAACTTCAGCTGAAACACAAGCAGAAGTGGTGCAGTATTTCATGCTAACTCAGTCAATGAAAAAGGTTGCACATTGCATTGGAGGGGGGAGGTTAGACACAGCTTTGTCATGGCTAAAATTTCCATCAGCCTTTTCTTTGTTACTCCTTCTTGGCCAAATATTGCCGTGATTCACACTGTGACTTTGGGGGGGTGCACACAGCACGAAGAAAGTAATTTGGGGTACCATCATCCTGAAAATGCTGCATGTCCGCTTTTATCAGCTCAGGTCCTTTCTCAAATCACTTCACCATTTTATATATGCACACACACAATGGCCATTGACCTTGCCATTAATATCCTCAGCACTTTTCTCTCTCTTTGTAAAATTTTGTCTTACCAGCCTAGTCATTTGGACTGCTCTAAGCAGCTGGCAAAGATATTTTAAAGGTGCATGGATGATGATGATCTTACTGAGGGGTTGGCCCACAGAGCTCAGCCTTTCCCGTTGCCTTTCATGGCCACGATATCCACACCAAGGCGTTACATCTGAGCAGCAGCCAAGCAGAAGGAGGAAAAAACTGTGATAAAGCAGTTCCCACACGTGCCCTTTCCTTTCACTTTTCTTTGAATGCAAACTGTGATAAAGAAACTCCCATTTCTCAAACAAGACCAGGTAACCCTTTATGAAAGTTTTCAGAAACCAAAAGTACACATGGGTAACATACCCTGCCATGATGCTCTACCCGCGCCTTCCCACCAGAGGCAAGTCAGGTCGTTCAGGTACAAAACAAGTACCGAATGTAGCCAGGAGGTCACAAAAGACCCATGGCCAAGGTTAAGGTCACTATTTCCTTTTTGTGAGGGTCTGCATATGTAGTACTCCATCTGCATCCCCACACAGGCTGCTGATATTGCAGTACTCACTGATATTAAAATCAGTTAGATACTGCACAGAGATACCCCTTAATATCTGTGCAACTTCTTATGTTAGGACCATCAAAACAGCCTAAAGGAGTTAGATACACAGCGTACACCTCACAGAGTAGCCCCCAAGGGTGGCCTCAAAGTCCAAACAGTGCCCTACCTGCATGGTCTAGCTATCAGAAAATCCCCCAGCCATCCCATCTGCCTTCCTGCT